GGCTTTGGGTTTTTATTCACATGGCTACTTATATTTGATATTTTATGCCATTTTGGATGCTTGATATGGTTTCTAATACTTGATATTTGAGACATGTTATGTTTTATGATCATGTTTATTGCTTTGAGAATATTATTTATGTTGAATGACCTCGTTTGGTACGTTTGATCTTCACAGCTTCTATTTATATCTTGTTTTTTAAACTTTTTGATTTAACAAAAAGGGGGAGAAATGTTAGAGTAAGGGGGAGCAGTTATTTTCAAGAAAATCTTAAAAATCTTAAATATTTTCAAAAGTTTTGTTACATAAAAAACGGGGAGATTATTGAACCATGCTTTGAGATTTTGGTAGACCAAAAGTAAATAAGTTTAAAGAAATTTTAAGGTTATTTTTAATTCAGTTTTTTAACTTATATTCAATTCAACTTTTTGAATATAAAAATTCTTTTTAAAGTAAAAAACTTCATAATTACTCCTTACTCTTTTGAAAAATTCAATTCATATACTGTAAATAATTTTCAAACATTTTTACAAAGGGTTTTAGATCTTAATCGATTCAAAAATCAATTTTTAACACTAGAGTACCGATATTACAAGAACAATACCTATATTGTTCATTTGGTACCGATACGGGTAGCGGTACTAACGTGTAAAAATACACTGAAGTATCGATATTGATATCGATACTCCCTTTAAGTTTTTGACAAACTCGATTCCAGTAGTCTATTTTTATACTGATACTCTGAGTATTGATACCAATATCAATACTCTAAGTGGAGTATCGATACTCCTCTCTCACCAATGGCTAGATTTTTGTATTTAATGCAAGACTGAGTACCGGTACTCAAGGTGTTATTAGCTCCCACAACAACCCAAACAACTAGAATTGAATGAAGGGGAATAAAAACAAGATTCCAAGTCATATGCGAAGAAAATAGATCATAGAGAAAGCCAAAAGCAATCATATTGAGCCAAAATCAAGTCAACATTCTTCAATATTCTTTTTGCTTTCAAATAACACTTTTGAACTCATTTGTTTCATTTTTTTAGTGTTCTTCTTTGTTTTTGAATTGTGCAAACACATTTCTAGTAAGGATTTCTAAGTTTTCTATTTGTAATTTCTTCTTAGGAAGGGTTGTACACTTGAGACTTTGGGGTATAAGTGTAGGTGTGTTGTAAGGTTACACCTTGTCATAAAAGATTTGAACAAATTAGTGAATTTGTTGAAATTTTTAGTGTGGAAACTAAGATAGTGGATGTAAACTTCATTGAGGAAGTTGAACCACTCTAAAATTGCTTGTGCCAATTTTCTTTATTTTATTGCAAAAAACTTCCATCAAATTTTATTTGTCAATTCACCCCTCTTGGTTATTTCATTGGTTCGATTCACTCAATATATTTATAATTTAACAACTCGTTTGATAGGTAAAAGTAGAACCATGCATTTATAATGTAGTTGGAAAAATATTATATTGTGATTATAATGACAGTTTTTTGGTGAATTTTTCCTCAATTCAATATAATTTCAAGTTAAATTTAATTGATAAGATAGGGATGGTTAGTTTGATTAAATTTAAATTGTATCATTTGATTTGATTTAATCGATATATACATTCATATCAGTTATTATCAAGTGTGTAGAAATGTGATTGTTATGATTTGTGCGGGTTAAACAACGTACGAAATACTTTATGTACAAGCTTCAATCATTTGACAATGATTTTTATTTTCCTTTTCGACCTTAGAGTTATGATTGGAGTTGAAGCTCAAAAAAATCTTAAACGCATGGATGGGGACGCCGCCAATGTTTGCCAAACCATATAAAACGTTGCCTTAAAGCATAAGTTGCTCAAGAGCTACAAAATGGGTTACTCGTTATTCAACTTTTAACTATTTTAGGGCAAATAAGAACCTTTAATTAAGCTTACGCCATTAAAAATGTTGTTCCGACTGTTTCCAATATTAGTTCGGAGATTGGGTGAAATGGTGAGCCCAATACTTAACCCTAGAGTGGATTTCATCGACCAAAACTTATCAAGAGATGAGAAATAAGAAGTTTACAGGAGTAGGACAATTTTTTCCCAGGTTCATATATCTTTGGTTGTTTTGAGAAACATGTAGTTACCGTTGGACTGATTAAGGTAGTTGAATTGTGAATAAATTGGCCAAGAGTTCATTTAAAATGTGAGTAGTTATATATATCGATTGCTCTACTTTGCTTCTTTTCAACTTGGATTTATGACTGATGGACATGGTCTGATCCTGCTTAAACAATCAGCTATATAGAAACGGTTGCTTCAAGTTGATAGACGTTAACCCTAAGTTGGTCCTCATAGTGGGTCATCCATCCACCAATATGTTTTGACTTGGAAATGTATAAATCTGATGAATTTGCCTCCATAGAATGGTCCTGATTTCTGGCCAGGGACTTCATTTGAGGACATTTTACTAACCATAACATCCACACTGACTACGTAGTCACATGCAGAGAGAATCATCACTATGTACTCCTTGAATCCCATGGTTCAATGCTGCACCCTTTCTCAGCTGTTCCTTCAAACAACCAAACCTATTGCACTTCAATTCATTTTACCAGTGACACATTCCATCTCATTTCTCAAACCACATTTGTTTTTCGCTCATCTCGTAAAATTTACCCTTCACAATCTACAATTAAAAATGATCATCGTTTTGCTTGCTTAATAAACTTTGCCCTTCACTCTTTAACCTAAATAAGAAATGTAATAAACTTATAATTGGAATCAGTGCCCTTCATTTATCTTCGGTGGTCCTACTCCATAAAATGTTTCCTCAACGAAGTCATTGTCCTCACAATTACTCGCACAATGCATAAACTTATAATTGGAATCATGGGCCACGTTCCCATTTTCATTATTATTCGAAACCACTTCAGTCATTGATTTCGACTAGTTTTTTTGGCTCACGGTCAGGGAGTGTTTCAATTCATTAAAAGTGAATAACTAACTCCTGCAAAATCAAATCAATAACACCAACCTTTGCGTCTCCTCTTTTTCCTTTAAAAAGGCAAAACATTAATCCAAGTGGCAGAACAAGTAAAAAAAAAGGGTAAATAAACAATCAAAATTCGTTCATATTCTTCAAGGATGATAGAAGCGATGGATGGAAAATATTTTGATAAAAGGAAAGTGGAAACTACAAAAATATCGAAATGAACATAAACCCCTAAATCACAGAACAGGGAACAGAGAAGAAGAAGAAGAAGCTGGCATTCCACTTTGTTTCCGTGTTGAACTTGGATTGGCAAGCGAGAGAACCAATGGGGAATTGAAATAAAATAGTTGGTTTTTAGAACGAAAGAAAATTTCAATGGAGCAAATTTTGGGTTGTAACATCGTAATCCTGACTGATTCCTCTTTTGGGCCTACTTCTTCTCTTGCCTGTTTGTTTTAAATATAGAAAAACTACTTTACTTTGTATCCCGCTTCACTTTTTAATTTTATCAATTATAACATTTAATATTAATTTCACATTCAATTTATCATTAAATTCGTTTATCTAATTAAACTTTTAATTTTATTAATTATAATATTAAATTTTAATTTTACATTCATTTATGTCATTTTATTGTTAAAGCACTAACGAGATAATAACATTACTACGGTTGTTGAAATGACATGTCATGACGTCATCTTTTGATGCGATAATTTTAATGTTTAAAACAACATTGTTGAAGATACTAAACTTTATAAGTATATTAATTTTGTCACTGAACTTTAAAATAATTTATTTTTTTAGCACTCTATTTTTTAGTTATCGCTGAAACTCAATCACTAATTATCTTTCATGATAAAATCAATATCAAAATATTTAAATTTCACTCCTCATTATTCTCACATAATTAATTTTTCACGAAATTAACTAAAAATCGAAACTACAAGTTGACCGGATTAACTCTTTACAATTTATCTTACTATAATCAACTTCATAAGACAAGTAGAAAATAATCATCGAATATCAACTAGGGCAGAGACGATTCATCGCTTCTCATTCCAACAAAGTTCGCAGCAACAAATCAGATAGACTCGCACGTGTGAAATAAATTTCTTTCCGACATTCATAAATTCATGGTTTAATATCAAAATAAGTGTCTAAACTATATTGATTTTCAAGAATAAGTGCCCAAAGTGCTTTTTAACTTATCCTAGTGTTTAACGTTATTTCTTTAGGTGTTCCGACTGAACCCTCAACAATGATAATTTCCCAATTAATTGACATGTATCACATTTTAGTAATTTTAAAAATTAAATTTTAAATTAAAAATTAAAATTACACATATTTAAAAAAAACAAACATTTTGAAATAACCCCTAAATTTTTAAAACCTTCATTTCAACCCTTAAACCCACATTGCCTGTCACCTTTCACCGTCGATGAAACTCCACCCGACCTCACCCTCCCAACAACCAAAACCCCTATGAAATTATGACCGGTCGACGGCCATCGATGGCGAATTGACGTTTTATATCCAACGAACCATAGGGCGAAAATCGCTATCCCACACGATTCTGGTGGCCAATCGACAACAACTACGGCAGTGTATGACTAGGAGGATGACAGAGACTACGACGTCGACAGTTGTTGCCGTAAAGGGCGACGGGAACAAGTTAAGATTAGGATTTTATGGATTTTTTATAATTTATGAGAAATTAGGATTTTTTTTAGTAAATATAATAAGAAATTTAATATTCTTTCAAAAAACAAATTTCAAAATATCGTATGTGACGTGTCACCTAACAGAAGAAATTAACACCGTTGATGACCTGGACACCTAAAATGATAATGTTTATAATGTTAGATACCAAAATAAGTCAAAAAATAGTTTAGACACCTATTCGTTAAAAACGATATAGTTTAGGCACTTATTTTGGTATTAAGCCTACCATTCATATATATATATATATATATATATATATAATGCAAAGTATTTCACAAGAGGACTCGATCAAAATCCTCCATAAATTATTATTTCTTCCTCTACAATAGACCCAGTGAACCAGTACAGCAATACCTACACATGCGCTATCCGCAACATCAAATACATACAAACTGTATAGACCCCAAAACCTTGGGTGGAAATGAAGCTTCTTTTCCTACTCTCATCCTCTTCCGGAATTACCGTGTCGCTGGTTTCTGAAGAAGGTCAGAAGCGCTTGTGCCTGCAACCGATAGAAGCTTACGATAATTGTCTGCATACATGGAAGAAAGGCGGTGATACTAAATATATAAATAAAACAGCAGAAGCATTATACCTTCTCTTTAGCTCTGGGTGTACCAGACTGGGACAGGGCAACTATTGGCGGGACAGCTCCTTCTTGTAGCACCATATTGCAAAACCTGTTACTGGTTGTGCACAGCTGTAAAAGAGCAGCGGCGGCATTTTCCTTTCCTCTTGCTGAACCCAACTCAACGACCTCAACCAGCACGGGGATCCCTTGCTCCTGCCCAATTGTAGTTCTCCCTTCAGGAATTGTGGCAAGATTTGCTAAAACCGCAACCCCCTTATCAACCATTCCAGCTGCTGGGTCCATCAACTCCACAAGGTGTCTTACAGCACCAGCTTGCACAATTCGGGCCTTATTTTCATGAAATATTGACAGATTAAACAAGGCTGTAGCGGCATCTTTCTTTCCCCTAGGAGTACCATTCCCCAATAAATCAACAAGAGGCCCGATTGCCCCAGACCTTCCAATCTTGACTTTGTTATCTTCAATGACTGAAAGGCTGAAAAGCGTGGCAGCAGCATTTTCTTTAGCTTCAGGACTTCCTGTCTCGAGGACATGAATCAGAGGCTCAATTGCATTTGCATTAGCAATAGCTGCTTTGTTGTTATCATTAATTGATAAGTTAAGAAGTGCTGTAACAGCATTTTCCTGAGTCTTTATATCTGGTGAATAGAGCAAATCAACTAACAAGGTAATAGCCCCACAGTTCGCTATTATAATCCGATTAACCATTTTGTGCTTGGCAAGTAACCTGAGTTCACCAGTGGCCTCTCGTTGAGTTTCGACTGAAGTGCTCTTCAAGTCCTCTACCAGCTTCTTAACATGGGTTTCAGTTCCAGAAAGGTCGTCCTTGTTCTCCGTAGTACCAGGAGAAGAAATTATCCTTGGCATGAATCTCTCTGATGGTCGGCGCCATTTTGTTTGGATTCGAGATCGTGGATCCATAAATCGAGGAGAGAACTCAACTTCCCTTCTTGGGATTGCTGAGCTAGCCTCAGGCTGCAGGTCAGATTTCGCCTCTCCAGTATTATCACTATTGGCCCCGAAATGAGTTGACTCCTCAAAGGCCTCATTGGCATCCCCAATTTCTACTCGAGGAAAATCGGAATTAGTAAGTGTACTTGATGCTGAAACGGATCTTGTATGGTTGAGAGATGACTTTCCAGAATTATGAAATTCTTGAATAGAAGGTGGTATAGGGGGTTGGCCAACTGAATTGCTATCCCTCTGTTCCAAGTTTGATCTGTCTTCATCACTACTTAGTGATACTCTTGCAACATCCAGAACATCTCCTTTTCCATCTATACCCGGAAAAGAACCCTCTAAGCTGGAACGTGGATGTAATGGGGAGGTTCCTTCCTGATTAAGTCCACTGAATGTGATTAGGTTCTTATTAGATTGACCAGTAGACCATGAATTAGGTGACATTGGTTGGCTGCTTCTAGAATGTGGAACACTGTTTGAATCTCTTGACAAGCCAGATTCTGCATGCACAAGGGGATCCGACTGATTTAAACTCACGGACTTCATGGGATCAGGCAACTTCACATTGTTTGACTCACAACAGTGTGCAATTAGTGCCTTTACTGTGTAATTAGGTATAAGATTGTTATGAGCCAAAGTCTGCCGTGTCTTGGGGCACACAGTGAGCCCAAGATCTATCAATTTCTTGATGAAAGCCCTCTCATAAGTTTGTCCGGATGCCACAATCACTGGATCAGTCATTAGCTCTAGGGAAAGGGGGCAGCAGAAATCAGCAGGTATAGGAACTGAGCTACAAGTCTGTGATTGCTTTATTGTGACAAGCCGATCATGCATGCAAGTTACAAGACCAATAATTTGATCAACAAACTCGGCTTCTTCAGTTCTTTCAGCTTGTTCAGCATTCTCTTTCAACTTTTCAAGGGCCACAACCTCTATCAGAATCTCCTGGTTTGATCTCAGGCTCAAATTCTCTGCAATTTTTGCTAGTATTTCTGAGCTTGGTCCAACGCTATCCACTTGATCCCTAATGGCTTCCCTAATGATAGATGATGTTTGTTCATATCCGACATGCTTAATTTTCTGCAAGTTGTGCTGCAATCAATCATGTCAACTATTAGACATCCTGAAATGTGGATTCCATTTTAGCATTCTTTAATCTCATATATCAAATCAAAAGACTATTTAATTTCTAACTACTCAAAACTGTATAGGTTAGATACCATTCACTCTCCAATAGATGACTTCTCATCCAAGTAAAAAATGCTTTGGTAATCATCGAGAGAATATGATAATTATGCTCAATTTATAAACACAAGATGAAATTAAAAACTTCAAATAGCAGCAGGGATTCAAATCGCGGTTGCGGTCGCGTTTTCGACATGTCATGTTTACCACGATTGCGGCCATAGCGGGCGCTATTGCGGGTATAGCGGGCATATCGGACGGCAGCGCTACCGCTATTTTGCGGGTGCTATCGCGGTCGCGGACCTCTATTTAAAACCCTGAATAGCAGTAAAAGCTTCAATAATTTTAGGTCATAAATTACCTCCAGGGATGCTGAACTCAATTCATCAGGTAGATGCTGATGAGAAAGCCTCAAGAACTGGACAATATCCAGGCTAGAATTGTGAATCTTTGATATTAGTGAATCAACTTGCAGAACCTATACATTAAGTGGAAGAAGATGGTTATCCAAGTTCGATTACAATAAAGGCCCAAACTACTAGCCTAGGAGCTGCTTATAATAAAAATAAGGAAATTCTGTTCTATATTATTACTATTCCTAAAATGGCACCCATTGATAGCTATTTTCCCCCTGAATATGATTGAACATTCAAGCATCGGATCATAGGGCTGTAACTTACTCCAAATGCTACACCTTCCACTAATTACTTTTATGAAAAACATTTTGAACTAATAACCAGAAAAGATGAGAAGAAAAACAGCTACATAGACCATAGGGGTCGAACATATAGCTGAAAAGTTATTGCATAAAAACCAAGTGTAAAATGATAACTCTAATCTAAAACAAGCATCTCACAAGGAAATAATAATGCTAATCTGAGTAATTGATCAAAGCTTTACTATATCAGAAGTATGGCAAGGTAGTTAGGCACTTCTTCCAGCCACAACTAAGAGAACTTGTGAAATAAAGATGTAACTTACAAAGTAAACTTTACTGGAAAGGGGTTGCCAACTATCACATTGCTCTCTCAGTTCTTCTATATAGAGACCCAATCCTTCGAATGCCTTACTGAGCACTTCATCAGAAGTAATTTCTGAATCGACAATTGCATTCAGAATTGGCTTCAATAACTTTAGTATCTCTTCTGCTCTCTGGTAGTACTTCTGAACTGGCTCCGAGTTTATTTTCTCAGAAGATGATAAATTTAAAACTGAAGAAATGCTAGTAAGAAGTGCTTTCAACAAAGATATCTCCATAAGATCTGTGCCAACAACAAAGAAACAAAAAACAGTCAGAGAGACCTCAACAAAGAGAAACAGAAGGTTAAAACTGATATTATAGCCAAGCTAGCATGCACAAAACATATAAAGTCATCAAGCTTATTTGAGTATATTTTTCATTTGTTATCATTGATCCTAACACAATTCATCAAGTTTCACATGAGATATACTGACAGAGAACAAATAAAGTCATACTATTGCATTGAGATGACAAGATTCAGGAAAACACTTCACTAGGTGTTAGTTTCAAACACCATTTAATGGTTTGATGTTACCAGCCTGTTAGTAACTTCAAAGTAATAGTGCCCTCACAAGGTTCATTATGCCTTGCCCAAAGCCATATCATTTTAGATTAGCCAAGTTCATCTCAATTATCATTTTCATACCCTATTTGCTAGATTTTATTCCAGAATTTCAATATCACATGAGAGGTGTGTGGTATTCACAGCAAAGAAAATACTTGAGAAAGGATCAGTTGTTTACAATATAATAATTACCAACAGATCAATTTGTGTATAGCAAATAGTATCCCATGAAAAAGCTTAACAGCTCAATGTTGTTGAACCAATCAAAGAAGACGCAAAGAGCTAAACTGTCATCATTGAGCATAACAGAAAATAAATGAAAGGAAGAGCAGAGAAACTAAGAAACAGTTAAAAAACATAATGCTGAAGAAACCTTCAATACAAATCAGATCTGGTTGATTTAAACATAAATCATGACATCAAACAATTGGAGAAAGCTTACAGCCTAATTATTTTGGTTCAGCCAACTGATTCCTCAACATTCAACTAAATACCAAGCAAATCATCACTGAACTCAGGCAATCACACATGTTCCACCAACACCACTATCATCACAGTTCTTTTGGTGCAAAAGAGCTAGAAAAAAAATGCATAAATTCATTTGCAAAGCTTAAAGAAAAATAAATTGAACCTCAAAAGCCTAGCTAAAGTAAGGACACTGAAATGAACGTACCTTTTCTTGTAAACTGACATAAAAATTCTTTCTCATCAATAATCCTTGGAAAATCATATTATGCGATTAAACTGAAGAAACATCTTTCCAAATCCATATAATTGCCTACAACAAGAACCACATAGATTCTTGAGATCTCAACTCCGCCAATTAGCTATCCTTGTAGGACAATTTTAAATTAGGAATTAATGAAATTAAAATAGAAAAATGATAAATAATAATAATATAAGTGCATTGGAACTTTAAACCTTCAAATATAGGATTTATCCACCAAAAAACCCATATGAAATTATAGTAAAGTTTTGTTTCAAGGTTCATTATGCTGATAATCTTCCAAGTATCCATCAAAATGTAATTAACGAAAACTTAAAACTCTAATAAAGAGAGACAATCTCTCACATTCCACTTTAAACATAATATGATCCACATTCACCCATCAAAGACGAGAGAGTTAGCTAACTAATAGCAAGCCAAGGCATTCTCTAAAGGTTAGAGAAGAGAAGATGAATGAAAGCTAAGGAATAACTGAAGTTTGGAACTGTACCTTCAATGTAATTGTCTTTACTGTAGGACTTTGTAAGCTTCTGCAGTCCGTGCAGTTACTCTACACAGCCCTGGTTTATAGGAAACCAACAGTTAACTTTTAGGATGTGTTTTCCTATTACCATTTGCACTTATATTAAAATTCAACGCAGATCAGACATCAATGTATTCAGCACCTTAAAAATTAGAATAAAGACAGCGTTGATACAAAGACAATATAAGACTACTGTTATATAGAGTCATCCCTAGTTACTTCATCAATATGGTGATGTAATACAGTCTTCGGATGCTTCAAGTAAGGAACAAGAATCCCAACAACCACATTCAAATTCCATATGCTAAACGAATCCTGTAGTTTTGAAACTAGCATAGTAGTAACGACAACAACAACAACTTTATCTAAATAGTTACTTCCAAAATCTATCTTTCTTAAATTATATGTATGGATTTTAAGTCTTTATGTTTTGAAGTACCTAGAAAGATCAAGATAACAGAACAGTGAAACTGCTGCAACTTAATCAAATCATTTTTACACCTTAGTGATTTATGCAGGTTAAATATTCGTCTTGCAATAATATAACAAACAATATTTGTATACGAAAGTGCATGTTTAAGCTGGTTTTTGCACTTTTACAACGGCAAAACAAACTACTAACAAAAATTAACCCAAAAACCACCTCAGACCTTAAAATCTCATTCGTCCGAAACCCACTTATTGTTTAAAAATTATACTAACAAACAATATGTGAAACAGAAAGTAATTACATCAAATGGGTTTTCTTATTATTTCAAAAACAACCGGCTTCAAAGAGGTAATTAGTCAAACATCAAACGTTGCAAGGAAATAAGAGAGAACTCAATCAAGATCTTTCAACGGTGTTAATGGGTCTATGATCTTAACACGGCCCAAAAGTGAAGCTTTGATTCTCTAGGCTGTTAAGCAGGCACCCGGATTCATTATCGAAGTTAGAAGAGAAATTCGAAAACGTAGAGAACTTCTCGAAGCCAACATGAAAGGAAAACAGAGAGAAAGAAAGAAAAAGAATTGTTACCTGTATGCAGCTTTGGGTTTTGGACTTTTCCTTTCTTTTCTTAATCTTTGTAAGAAGAAAAAAGGACTAATACCCAGTGTTCGCTATTCTGTTGCTGGCTTTTTCACGTCAAACAGCTTTTTTAGAAGACTAAATGCTTTGGGATTTTAGCTAAAGCAAAGGTCTTTGATTTTAATCGTTTGCTGTGATTGTTTAGTTGGAGAGTGGGACGTTGTCGTCAACTTTGGAATCATTTAATGCATATTTTGACTGGAAATTTGGGATCAGCGTTTCTGATAACCCGCCAAAAGACCCGGTTCACCATGATTCTTTTAAACTAGATAAAATACGTGGTTTGTATTGTGACAAATAAACAGAACGATAATAATAAATACAAATTGAGAGTGAATGTTTGAAAAGAGGTTTGGTCAAAATTTGACATTTGCATCCGACAGTTTTGACCCAAACAAAGTATTGCTTTGGATGATGCGTTTTTTATTAATACAAAGTAATATTTATTTAAATATAATTTTTAATTTTTTAATATTAAGTGTTGACGTTTTTGATGTTATAATCAAATCTCAGAAGCTATTAATAATCCAACACTCGTTCACATAATAATAAATTTTAAATAATGTTATTTTTTTTAAAGATTTCGAGTTCAAACAATTAGAGCATGTATTATCAATTTTTTTAAAAACTCATTATCTTATAATCACTTGGCTAATCATAATTTTTTTAGTTAATCCAAGATCTAAAATAAAAATAAATTAAATATTTTTATACTTTTAAAGATAAATTACATAAATGTTGTCCCGATTCCCTGACTATTAAAAATCATAAAATAGTCCTCCGACTATAGAGTATTATTCTGTTGAATCCCTAAACTATTAATAGTTACGAAATTATTACCCGACTATTCATATGTTCTAAACATATAATATTTTATGAATATAGGAAGCTAGGGGACTCGATGCTGGGCCACGCTTGGTCCAAAAAATGGTTGGTTTTGGGGATCACAGGACATCTAGCATTGTAGCTAGGATTGCTGAAGAGGAAATTGCACATGTTGCTGTTGGTGTATACTGGCTTATGTCCGTCTGCCATAAAATGAATCGTGCCCCATGCTCCACGTTTAAAGGTTTAGTAGTATTTTATCACTGCAGGACAGGTCCTTTTGCATTTAAAATTAATTCCATTCAAGCTCTGTAATATCTTTATGTTTTTCTTTGAAAAACCGGGAAGAGTTATTACATGAGTATAATTTGGAGCTGAAAGGGCCATTTAATTATTCAGCTCGAGATGAAGCAGGCATTCCACGCGAATGGTAACTATGAAAGTCCTCACGCAATTCTAAATTTTTAATCTTTATAACCAATTGACAATGCGATTTGTAGGTATGACTCATCATCAACAAAGAAAGAGCCTGAAGAGAATCGGAAAAGTAGTCAGCAGCTTTCGGAGGTAAGTGATGCAATATTGTACACTTCAAATATGAAGCATTTTGTAACACCCCAATTTAGGGGCTAAAATTAAGAAATTATAAAGTGACGGATTTAATTGATATTTTGAAAGAAACATTGAGGATTAAATTGTAAAGTTTTAAAGTTGTCAGACCATTTTAAGAAGTACAGGAAGTTTAGTGGCTAAACTCTTGGTTTAACCATTTTTATTTAGGAGATGATATATACCCCATCCCCGTATGTTTCTGGAAAAAATATTTCCAGATTTTCCTTTTCATCAACCCCTCTTTCAACTCCGATCTACTCGCCGTCCGACCTCCGATCGACGAGCTGAAACCACCATCGTGTTCGTTGTCGAGCGAGGAACAAAACCCTTCAAACCTTACGTCGTGAATTATCTCCGTTCGTCGTTAATTTCAGTCGGAAGTATCGTCGGTAATAACTCGGTTTTAGTTGGTTTTTCATCGATTCACGACGATCCGATGATCCGTTTACGACACCTCCCGCACCATCGTGTTCCTTGTGCCGTTCCGAGTCCACCGATGTTCTCCTTTTTCTCTGGCGGCTGCGGCGCGTGTGGAGGTGAAGCGGTCAAAGTTTCCGACGTTTCAAAATCGAGCTCTCCGCCGTTCAAAATTGTGAATCGAGCTTTGTAAGTATCTTGAAATTGCTCAAAATAATTTTTAGAAATTTTTCTGTGAATTTTACGCTGCCGGAACAGTGCCCACGCTCCCCCACGCGCCGCCACTACGAGAGGGGATAGTCCAAATGACCGGTTTGACCGGTTTTAGTGAATAGTTGACCGGTTTGACCGGTCATAACCCGACCCGACCGTTGACCGTTGACCGGCGTTGAACAAAACTTTGACCGGCTTTGACCAGGCATTAAACGACCTTTGACTTCGACCGAGTATACCTATCTTGACATTTTTCGACATTCCAAATCCGATTCCGCTGTCCGTTTTTCAAAATTCGAACCCGAAGGCCTCAAAATTGCTGGTCAAACCCGTTGACTTCGATTTTGACCGAAAATTCCAAATTTCCGAAAAGTCATATTTTATGCTTTCGATGTCCTGAATCCGAATCCGAAGTCCGTTTTGCCAAATTCGAAACCGGTAAGCCGTCATTCACTGATTTATCACCCGATTCGATTAGTTTATCGTAATTAAACTCCGTTTCTGATATAATTTATGTTGATATGTATCTGAGGAATTATTGGAAGTTGAATTGAAGATCAAAGGCGTTCGAATGGAATTTTTATGGTCAATCAGTATTGCACGGAAATCGAGATAATACTTTACTACCTCTTTATGCTTTATGGAACATATGAATATTGGTAAATGCATGATTAAGATAATGTTGGTCTCATTTGTGTAGTTAATTAGTTTCTACACTCGATCTAAATACAGTAAAAGGGTTCAGTACTTGATTATGGTTCAGATGATTTCTATAAGAAATTGAGGGATTGTTAGAATTAAATTACAAGTTCTGTGCTTAGTGATAAAGAAATCAACATGGGTTTGTAACTTATAGTTTATTTCATCAAAGGTTAAATGTTAAAGGTACTTGGATGGGAAATTATGATAATACTCCGGTAGGATAAATTTACGAAAATACCCTTAAGTTGGAAAATGACAAGAATTGTCTCTGGAAGTGGATTAATAAATCTGTAAAGAATTATTGATCAACTAAAACTGTTGAGGTACATAAGAAATGTTAGTTTTACTTAGAAATTATGGATAACCGGTTTTTAACCCCAAGAAGGTTTATGCTAGATACTAGAAGTCTTTTAAGGAATCATTTCAAGATCAAAGAATGTTCGAGGAAGCAATTAATCATAGGATCTCTATATTATATTATTTTCGTTAAGAGCTAATATCGAAATTATCTGGTTAAGAAATTACGAAAATGCCCTTGAGAGATAAAATAGTCTGAATTAACCCTGAATGAGAAAGTACTTTGAGGATTTGTACTTAACTCGATTAAGTACGAATTTAATTGTTAAGATCTTGTCTTTGTACAGAAAAATTTATGATATTCCGTTTGTAAAATCTGAGAAGACACTTGACCCGAAAATATTCGAATAATGAGTAAATACTTGAAGAGTAATTTATCAGGGGTATTCTGCTGTTAGAATTGTTTGAAAAGACTGAAGTAAATGATAATATTGAATTAAATAATAAGATCGGATGGCAGGAAAAGATTGAAATACCGTAGATCTGTAAAATGACCAAAATACCCCTGTAATGGAAATGACCCAAGAATATCACCAAGCTCAGGAATGATTGGATATCCTCGAGCTCTTAAATGAATGGAATAAAACTGAACACCAAAATTTCCAAAATACCCTCATGACCTATACCAAGTAAATGCCTTAGATTAATTAAGGAATCCAAATAAGCATAGGTATTGGCCTACCTTTAAAAGTAATGGGAAACAATTTAAGTGAGTAGATCAACCCTAAAACTATGTCAATACCTGAATGGCATAGATATTACTGGAACATGTGTTTGTCTTCTCAAGTTTGGCTCGATGATAAATTTTGGAAGTATTCAGCTCAGCCCAGCTCTAGATTGTATTCAGTACTAAGAATTGGACGTTTGTTCGACAATCAACCACGAAGACCAAATTGAATGGAATAGAAGTACAACATGTATCTGAAATTCAGGAACGTTTGAATTACTCTGGAAAATCTTGAAGTAACTGGAATGGATTTGACTGCTAAATAAGCTAAGTAACCTCAATGATCGAGGATTAAGTAAGTGAATTGGATAAGTCTGGAAATTCTGATGAGTTTATAAGATGTACTGTCCTTATGGAACATGAACTACAAATCAAGCACGTTAGTATTTCATGATATCGTGGAAGCTTGGAAATGAAATAAAGATCATTGGAAGATCTATTCAGCGATGATTCTGAAGGTGATCTATGAACAAGAATTTGTGGTATTAAAAAGTAAATACCCTAGAAGGGAAATGAATTGACCAGTGGATATAAATTGATAAGGTTCTGAATCTTCGTTATCAAGTTGTTCGATTATCCGATCAATTGACATGGATGTAAAGGATTCTGAATACCCTTCTGATTACGTACAACTTCTGAAAACTGTCTGAATAAGATAAAATCCTGATAATTCACATTCTGAATAACTGATGATTCTGTCAGTTAATGAACTCTTCCAATAGTGATTCTAAATTCCAACATTCTATCGACATACTGAAGAACTGTGTTTCTCTGCCTGATACAGTACCTCTAAATAATACCTGTAAACTCTAGTGTGTTCCCTAATTACATGAATGTTTTTATCTGATTTCAAATTTGAATTCTGTTATGATACCTGACCTGGATTCTGATCTGATATTGACATGGATTCTGATCTAATACATGACCTGGATTCTGATATAATACTTGACTTGAATTATGTTTTGATTTTTGATATATCCGTTTACGTACGGAACATGTTTTATTGAGGGGTATTGTTGGAGGAAGATTACTTGGAGGCTCCTCGGCTTTGTGCTCAGGGCCTTACTTGCAGGCTCCTCGGCTTTGTGCTTAGGGCCTTACTATTCGTGACGGGGTTGTATGGTTCTGGGTAACCTACACATTTTGTTCGTGACGGATGGGGGTATATATATATATGTTTTAAAAAGATCTAAAAAGTTACATGGTTTTTGGGAACACACTAGATAACCTATTCTGATCTCCTGAACTCAGTCATCCGAAATTATTTATCTGAACTGAAATCTCATTGTCCGTTAGCACCTGAAATATCAGTAGGATCCCTGCTCAGTATAAAAATCTGTAAATATCTGAACCAATAAGGAAATGTATATTTATCTATATTTGCACGTTCTTCAGCATCATCTGGTAGTTTTGTATTACTGAGCTTTCCAAAGCTCACTCTCTTACTCACCTTTTCAGGTTAAAAGAATTGTACCAGTGCATCTATCGACTTCAGTAAGGGAGTTCTTTCGGCGTTGTTGCAGAGTATGGTACATGTGATTAGGGGGCATGTAATTGTATTTTGATTTATATATGAGTCTGAAAATCTGTTTTATTTTTAAATAGCGACAAATGATTTTATAAGTTTGCATGTTCTGATAAAAAGTTTTAAATTTTCTGCTATTTTTATAGTGGGTCGCTCCGGTGGCCCTAATGTGACACCCCGGATCGGATTTGGTTACCCTTATCGGTCTGTGGGGGTTACATTTAGTGGTATCAGAGCTATGGTTTGAGTCAAAATTTTCAAGTTAAACCGGCCGGTCGAATGTCAAAATATGTCTGATCAGTACATGCCCCTAGACTGTGATCATACCTCTTTGAGCCGGAACTCCAGGGCTGAGTCCCTATCTGTAACGAATAAACCGAAGTTTCTATCCGTTAAGGTTATACTTGTACAAAAAGGAATACTAGTAACATCTGTCTAAACGCTGTAAAGTATCTCATGAGCCATGTGAGAGTTATTTATTTGAAAGATTCTGACTTGACTCCGGAATTTAAATTGGGATATGCTACTGCTCTATGAGCATATTCTCATGACCAAGACTGAATTGATTACTCAATGCCATTTTCGTTCGGATTCTTTTATTGAAATGAGAGAGAGTTCTGATAAGAATGTATACTCAACTGGTTAAGGATTATTGGAGAATCCGTATTTCTATAAAAGCTACTCGAAGATATGGAAGAGTTGATGAAAGTTTCATTTCTACAATTATGTGACATGAATGAATTTCAAGGACGAAATTCTTTTAAGGAGGGGAGAATTGTAACACCCCAATTTAGGGGCTAAAATTAAGAAATTATAAAGTGGCGGATTTAATTGATATTTTGAAAGAAACATTGGGGATTAAATTGTAAAGTTTTAAAGTTGACAGACCATTTTAAGAAGTACAGGAAGTTCAGTGGCTAAACTCTTGGTTTAATCATTTTTATTTAGGAGATGATATATACCCCCATCCCCGTATGTTTCTGGAAAAAATATTTCCAAATTTTCCTTTTCATTAACCCCTCTTTCAACTCCGATCTACTCGCCGTTTGACCTCCGATCGATGAGCCGAAACCACCATCGTGTTCGTTTTCGAGCGAGGAACAAAACCCTTCAAACCTTACGTCGTGAATCATCTCCGTTCGTCGTTAATTTCAGTCGGAAGTATCATTGGTAATAACTCGGTTTTAGTTGGTTTTTCATCGATTCACGACGATCCGATGATCCGTTTACGACACCTCCCGCACCATCGTGTTCCTTGTGCCGTTCCGAGTCCACCGGTGTTCTCCTTTTTCTCCGGCGGCGGCGGCGCGTGTGGAGGTGAAGCGGTCAAAGTTTCCGACGTTTAAAAATCGAGCTCTCTGCCGTTCAAAATTGTGAACCGAGCTTTGTAAGTATCCCGAAATCGCTCAAAATAATTTTTAGAAATTTTTCTGTGAATTTTACGTTTCCGGAACAGTGCCCACGCTCCCCCACGCGCCCCCACTGCGAGTGGGGATAGTCCAAATGACCGGTTTGACCGGTTTTAGTGAATAGTTGACCGGTTTGACCGGTCATAACCCGACCCGACCCGACTCGTTTACTCGACCCGTTGACCCGACCCGACCCGTTGACCCGACCCGACCCGTTGACCGTTGACCCGTTGACCAAAGTTGACCAAAACTTTGACCGGCTCTGACCGGGCATTAAACGACCTTTGACTTCGAACGAGTATACCTATCCTGACATTTTTCGACGTTCTAAATCCGATTCCGCTGTCCGTTTTTCGAAATTCGAACCCGAAGGCCTCGAAATTGCTGGTCAAACCCGTTGACTTCAATTTTGACCGAAAATTCCAAATTTCCAAAAAGTCATATTTTATGCTTTCGACGTCCTGAATCCGAATCCGAAGTCCGTTTTGCCAAATTCGAACCCGATAAGCCGTCATTCACTGATTTATCACCCGATTCGATGAGTTTATCGTAATTAAACTCCGTTTCTGATATAATTTATGTTGATATGTATCTGAGGAATTATTGGAAGTTGAATTGAAGATCAAAGGCGTTCGAATGGAATTTTTATGGTCAATCAGTATTGCACGGAAATCGAGGTAATACTTTACTACCTCTTTATACTTTATGGAACATGTGAATATTGGTAAATGCATGATTAAGATAATGTTGGTCTCATTTGTGTAGTTAATTAGTTTCTACACTCGATCTGAATACGGTAAAAGGGTTCAGTACTTGATTATGGTTCAAATGATTTCTATAAGAAATTGAGGGATTGTTAGAATTAAATTACAAGTTCTGTGCTTAGTGATAAAGAAATCAACATGGGTTTGTAACTTATAGTTTATTTCATCAAAGGTTAAATGTTAAAGGTACTTGGATGGGAAATTATGATAATACTCCGGTAGGTTAAATTTACGAAAATACCCTTAAGTTGGAAAATGACAAGAATTGTCTCTGGAAGTGGATTAATAAATCTGAAAAGAATTATTGATCTACTAAAACTGTTGAGGTACATAAAAAATGTTAGTTTTACTTGGAAATTATGGATAACCGGTTTTTAACCCCAAGAAGGTTTATGCTAGATACTAGAAGTCTTTTAAGGAATCATTTCAAGATCAAAGAATGTTCGAGGAAGCAATTAATCATAGGATCTCTATATTATATTATTTTCGTTAAGATCTAATATCGAAATTATCTGGTTAAGAAATTACGAAAATGCCCTTGAGAGATAAAATAGTCTGAATTGACCCTGAATGAGAAAGTACTTTGAGGATTTGTACTTAACTCGATTAAGTACGAATTTAATTGTTAAGATCCTGTCTTTGTACAGAAAAATTTATGATATTCCATTTGTAAAATCTGAGAAGACACTTGACCCGAAAATATTCGAATAATGAGTAAATACTTGAAGAGTAATTTATCGGGGGTATTCTGCTGTTAGAATTGTTTGAAAAGACTGAAGTAAATGATAATATTGAATTAAATAATAAGATCAGATGGCAGGAAAAGATTGAAATACCGTAGATCTGTAAAATGACCAAAATACCCCTGTAATGGAAATGACCCAAGAATATCACCAAGCTCAGGAATGATTGGATATCCTCGAGCTCTTAAATGAATGGAATAAAACTGAACACCAAAATTTCCAAAATACCCTCATGACCTATACCAAGTAAATGCCTTAGATTAATTAAGGAATCCAAATAAGCATAGGTATTGGCATACCTTTAAAAGTAATGGAAAACAATTTAAGTGAGTAGATCAACCCTAAAACTATGTCAATACCTGAATGCCATAGATATTACTGGAACATGTGTTTGTCTTCTCAAGTTTGGCTCGATGATAAATTTTGGAAGTATTCAGCTCAGCCCAGCTCTAGATTGTATTCAGTACTAAGAATTGGACGTTTGTTCGACAATCAACCACGAAGACCAAATTGAATGGAATGGAAGTACAACATGTATCTGAAATTCAGGAACGTTTGAATTACTCTGGAAAATCCTGAAGTAACTGGAATGGATTTGACTGCTAAATAAGCTAAGTAACCTCAATGATCGAGGATTAAGTAAGTGAATTGGATAAGTCTGGAAATTCTGATGAGTTTATAATATGTACTGTCCTTATGGAACATGAACTACAAATCAAGCACGTCAGTATTTCATGATATCGTGGAAGCTTGGAAATGAAATAAAGATCATTGGAAGATCTATTCAGCGATGATTCTGAAGGTGATCTATGAACAAGACTTTGTAGTATTAAAAAGTAAATACCCTAGAAGGGAAATGAATTGACCAGTGGATATAAATTGTTAAGGTTCTGAATCTTCGTTATCAAGTTGTTCGATTATCCGATCAATTGACATGGATGTAAAGGATTCTGAATACCCTTCTGATTACGTACAACTTCTGAAAACTGTCTGAATAAGATAATATCCTGATAATTCACATTCTGAATAACTGATGATTCTGTCAGTTAATGAACTCTTCCAATAGTGATTCTAAATTCCAACATTCTATCGACATACTGAAGAACTGTGTTTCTCTGCCTGATACAGTACCTCTAAATAATACCTGTAAACTCTAGTATGTTCCCTAATTACATGAATGTTTTTATCTGATTTCAAATTTGAATTCTGTTATGATACCTGACCTGGATTCTGATCTGATATTGACATGGATTCTGATCTGATACATGACCTGGATTCTGATATAATACTTGACTTGAATTATGTTTTGATTTTTGATATATCTGTTTACGTACGGAACATGTTTTATTGGGGGGTATTGTTGGAGGAAGATTACTTGGAGGCTCCTCGGCTTTGTGCTCAGGGCCTTACTTGCAGGCTCCTCGGCTTTGTGCTCAGGGCCTTACTGTTCGTGACGGGGTTGTATGGTTCTGGGGAACCTACACATTTTGTTCGTGACGGATGGGGGTATATATATATATGTTTTAAAAAGATCTGAAAAGTTACATGGTTTTTGGGAACACACTAGATAACCTATTCTGATCTCCTGAACTCAGTCATCCGAAATTATTTATCTGAACTGAAATCTCATTGTTCGTTAGCACCTGAAATATCAGTAGGATCCCTGCTCAGTATAAAAATCTGTAAATATCTGAACCAATAAGGAAATGTATATTTATCTATATTTGCACGTTCTTCAGCATCATCTGGTAGTTTTGTATTACTGAGCTTTCCAAAGCTCACTCTATTACTCACCTTTTCAGGTTAAAAGAATTGTACCAGTGCATCTATCGACTTCAGTAAGGGAGTTCTTTCGGCGTTGTTTCAGAGTATGGTACATATGATTAGGGGGCATGTAATTGTATTTTGATTTATATATGAGTCTGAAAATCTGTTTTATTTTTAAATAGTGACAAATGATTTTATAAGTTTGTATGTTCTGATAAAAAGTTTTAAATTTTCTGCTATTTCTACAGTGGGTCGCTCCGGTGGCCCTAATGTGACACCCCGGATCGGATTTGGTTACCCTTATCGATCTGTGGGGGTTACATATTTCTTTTTTTCTGGAAAATGATTTAGATTTCAAAACTGATTACAGGTTTATGATAGGCTCGCTTGTATCATCTCCATGGAGAGCGAGCATTCGAGTTTAAATAGACCTTCTCGATGACTTTATTTGAATAGACACTACAATATCAAGGGTACATTTCTATGAGCTGTCCTGTTAGGTTCCGTGTATTTGTTCTGAACTCTGTAATTTGGTGTGAAGTTTTCCATATAAACTACTTCGTCCATGGACACGAAAGCTGTAGCAAACTGAATATTTTACCTTATGCTTGTTGTGCTCCCAATTATCCCTTTGTATAGCCATGCAATTGTTGAACAACTTATTCTTGATAGTCTTTGAAGATTTTGGTACGTCATCTGATCATCTCGTGTTTGTGAAAGATTTTGGTTGGTGATTGTTCAAATCCAGAGATTGACAAAGACGAATTATGACAATTGGAGCATTCATATGAAGGCGTTGCTAGGCTCCCAAGATTGTTGGAATATCATCAAGGATGGTTACACCGAGCCTGAAAATACAGTAGCAGAAGCAGCCCTGGCCAATGAATAAAAGAAGGTATTGAAGGATTCCCGAAAAAAAATAAAAGAGCGTTGTTCTTTATTTTTCAAGGAGTAGACGAATCTACCTTTGAAAAAATTTCTGATACGAAGACCGCAAAACAAGCATGGGAGATTTTGCAAAAATCTTTACAAGGTGCCAAAAAAACAAAGAATGTACGCTTACAAACTTTTAGAGCTAAGTTTGAGATGTTAAAAATGAAAAATACATAAAACATCAATGATTATATTAGTCGTGTGTAAGCGATCATGAATGAAATGAAAAGAAATGGTGAATCACTTGACGATGTTAGAGTGATGGAAAAAATTTTACGGTTAATGACAAGAAAATTCGATTACGTGGTTGTGGCAATCGAAGAATCGAAAGATTTATCCAAAATATCGATCGATGAGCTTGTGGGTTCACATCAAGCCCATGAGCAGAAAATGAAACAAAATTAAGATTCTGAAAAATTTGGAGCAAGCTCTACAAAGAAAGATGAATGTCAACGAAGGAGAAGCTAGCAGCAGCTACACACGAGGTTGAGGAAATCGTGGTGGTTATCGTGGAAGATACAGAGGAGGACGAGGAACTCGTGGACACGGTGGTTGATCATATGGCACCGATCAAATAAGTGAAAATAATCTAACATCAGGTCGTGGACGAGGATTCCGAGGCCGAGGAAGAGGCAAATATCAACAAGGAAATAAATCCCAGGTAGAATGTTATAATTGCAATAAGTATGGTCTTTATAGTTATGAGTGTAGATTTTCTCCTAAACAAGAAGAAAGAAATAACGTAGCAGCAGCTGAAGAAGAAAAAAATTGAAAAATCTCATGTATTCCTCACTTATAAAGGAAATGATTTGGTATCTTGATAATTGTGCCAGTAACCATATGTGTGGTCAAAGGGAATTGTTTATGAAATTAGATGAAACAATCCATGGGCGAGTAACTTTCGGAGATGACTCACACGCAGAACTAAAAGGAAAAGGCGAAGTCATGATTACTCAGAGAAATGGAGAAAAGAAATACATTTCAGATGTTTATTATGTATCTGCTTTGAAAAGAAATATCATCAGTCTTGGTCAACTCCTGAAAAAAGGATATGAAGTGCAGATGAAAAATCGCTCACTTGCCATAAAAAATAAAGAAGGAGAATTGATAGCCCAAGTTGACGTGACTCGAAATCATCTCTTTACAATTGATATCGAGTCAGGAGAACTCAAGTGCATGAAGACCGCGATCAAAGATGATTTATGGCTATGGCATCTAAGATATGGACATCTTGGATTTTCTGGTCTGAAGTTGTTATAAAAAACAAGCATGGTGAAAAGACTACCAGAGATCAACCCTCCAAATCAATTATGTGAGGCTTGCATCAAAGGAAAGCAATATAGACAAAGCTTTGAAGTTGGTAGATCCTGGCATGCCCGAAGACCGCTGGAGATAATACACACATATATAGCCGGTCCCTTTGATATACTATCGCCTGGCGGTAACAGGTACTGCCTAACTTTTATTGATGATTTTAGTAGAAAATATTGGATTTATATCTTAAAATAAAAGTCAGAAGCGCTGGAAAAGTTGAAAGAATTTAAAGCAATGGCGGAAAAACAAAGCGATCAATATTTGAAGATACTCAGATCAGATAGAGGAGGCAAATATATATCAAAGTTATTTGAAGAATTCTGTAAAGAGCATGGCATCATCCATCAGCTGACAGTCAGATACACACCATAACAAAATGGAGTTGCAGAAAGAAAGAATCGCACAATTCTTGACATGGCAAGAAGAATGATAAAAGGTAAGCAACTAGCAAGAAATTTCTGGGCTGAAGCAGTTCAATGTGTAGTTTACCTATTGAACAGATGTCCAACAAAAAATGTGAAGTATATGACGCCAAACGAAGCATGGAGTGGTCAGAAACCAGGAGTTGGACACCTCAATATTTTTGGATGCATAACATATGCCCACGTTCCTGAACAAACTAGGAAGAATCTTGATGACAGGGGAGAAAAATGTATTTTCATTGGCTATGATGAAAGAAGTAAAGCTTATAGATTATATAATCCTCTTACGAAGAAGATAATAATTTCAAGAGATGTCGAGTTCGATGAAGCAAAATATTGGAGAAGGAGCAAAGAGGAAAAGAAAGAGGGACTATTTTTTAATGAAGATTAAGATGGCGATCTTATCAATCAAGATGAACAAGCTGATGATCAAGGTCCTCAACAAAATGTACCATCTTCTTCAAGCAGCAGCAGCGATGCTAGCAACATAATAGAATATTCTGAAGCACCTCCCACAGAAGTTCGAAGATCCACAAGAGAGAGAAGAATGCCAGAAAGGTACAAACTAAATAATGTTTCACTTTTCTGCTTACTTGTGAATAATGATCCAAAAACATATGAAGAAGCGGTTGAAGATGACAAATGGAAGAATGCAATGGATGAAGAAATTGCATCAATTGAAAGAAATGATACATGGGAGCAAACAAGACAACCAGAAGGTCAAAACCCAATTGGAGTAAAATGGGTTTACAAGAGTAAGACCAATAAAGAAGGAAAGGTCGAGAAACACAAAGCGAGGCTAGTTGTCAAAGGCTATAAGCAAAGACAAGGAATAGACTATGATGAAGTATTTTCTCCAGTAGCAAGGATCGAGACCATCAGACTTCTCACAGCAGTTGCAGCACTAAAATGATGGAAAATTTATCAGATGGATGTGAAGTCGACATTTCTAAATGACTATCTAGAAGAAGAAGTTTATATTGAGAAACCACTTGGATACATTAAAAAGGGACATGAAGACAAAGTTTACCGATTGAAGAAAGCTCTATATGGTCTGAAGCAATCCCCGACAGTATGGAACACGAGAATTGATGAATATTTCTAGAGAAATGGGTTCATAAAGAGTTCATACGAGCATGCCTTATACACTAAGAAAAATAAAGACGGTGATATCATGATCGTGTGCTTATATGTGAACGACATGATTTTCACAGGAAATAATCCATGTATGTTCAATGATTTTAAGAAAGCTATGATTAAAGAATTTGAAATGACATATATTGGAGAAATGACAGATATTGGAGAAATGTCATACTTCCTTGGAGTTGAAGTGAAGCAAATGCAAGAAGGAATATTTATATTATAAAAAAAGTATGCAGAAGAAATTTTAAGAAAATTCAGAATGGAAGATTGCAAGCCGGTAGCCACTCCAGTAGAACCAGGCATCAAATTAAGTGTGAATTCAACAAAATAATAAGTGAATCCGACATACGCTGTGGGATTGGTAAGCAGATTCATGGAGAATCTGAAACTAGATCATTAGATTGCAGCAAAAAGAATCCTGAGATATGTCAAAGGTACAACAGATCATGGTTTGTTCTACACGCATTCAAAAAATTTGAAGCTGGTTGGTTATTCTGATAGTGATTATGGGGGAGACTTAGACGATCAAAAAAGCATAACTGGATATCTATTTCATATCAGCTCTGCAGCATTTTCATGGTCATAAAAAAAGCAACAAACGGTAGCTCTTTCAACATGTGAAGCAGAATACATAGTAGCAGCAACGTGCACTTGCCAAGCAATATTGTTAAAGAATATTTTGAACGATCTAAATTTGGCACAAGAAGTACCAATTACAATTTATGTCGACAAAAAGTCTACAATTTCCCTTGCCAAGAATCAGTCTCCCATAGCCGAAGCAAGCATATTGATCAAAGTATCACTTTATACGAGAGCAGGTGAAGAACAAAAATGTGGAGTTAATTTACTGCAAAACTGAAGATCAACTAGCAGACATTTTCACAAAGCCATTGAGAGCAGATATATTCAACCGACTCAAAGAAAAACTTGGAATGGAAAGTCGAGTTTGAGGGGGAGTGTTGGAAGTCAAACTCAACCTTAATGGAATTGTGTAGAAATCTTAGGTGGTCCCACAAAAAAATTATAAAATTGCAACAATGATGAAGTTAAAATATGCTTAATTATTAAGAAAAGTTCAAGGCAGTATGTGGACATGGACTATCCACTTGGAGAATTAAAATAAAGCCAACGTTGATAGCAAAGCTTACATGTGGTACTTATGATTTGCTTAATTATTAAGGAATTATAAGGCGGCAAGTCTTAAGCGGTTTTAATACACTATATATATGTGTGCTTGTTAGTTTTTAGAGTAATACAATGTAAGGAAAAAATACGAGTGAAAGAAAAATACAAAAGAGATTAGAGAGTGAGAGCTTAGTAAAGCTATATTGGTGGAGTTTGTAAACTAGTCGTAACTAGTATTGTAATATTGGGGTAGTGTCGTTGTAACATATTTTGCTTCGTATCAATAATAGTTCGAGTTATAAATTACTGAGTGCCCATCTACGCTTCCAACAATATTGTACATCATTAAAATTGTGTTACAAAAGGGTATCATATATATGAGATAAGGTTATTTTTTTAAATATTAAATGTTAAGTCTATAAAAAATTAATCTTATTTGTTTTTTTACTAGTATAAGAGTTAAGTTGATCACTTTAATAATTGAAGAATTAATTTGATTCAATTTATATAATAAAAATTACATTAATCTATTTAATAATAAAAGAATTAAATTGATATAATCCACATAATAAAGAGACTTAACAAATACTTTCA